GGGGGGGGGGGGGGGGGCAGTATGGGGGTTCAGGACACGAGGGCTGGTGAATGATGCATGTACCTGTGAGCCCAGTACAAGTGTGGTTGAATTATTAAGAAGGCTGCTTGCGTGACAGCGATGACTGACACTGTGAATGGACCTTTGAAATCGACCCGTTGGCCCCGCCAGCCTCGGGTGGTGATTGCGATTTGGCCCACGGCATTCTGCAAGCAGTGTTCAAATATAATGGTAACTAGCACAGTATTTAGCCAATGAGTATTTAGCCGATTGGCATTGGGACAGCCGGATTGGGAAATCATGGAAGCAGCAACCCACCAGCAGCACAACCCATCACCCCTGCCCTGCCCGGTGGGTGTGCCTCCCCCGACTGCAAACCTAAACAATCCATTCTCACCAAGGCAAACGCAGTGAGATGCAGCAGGAAAGCTGGCGGGAGAGGCTGGCTGCTGCCTTGAAGCTCAGCCCCAGCCTGCCGCGTGCTGCCATCGGCGGCGGCGGCGGCTGTACTCCCCGCTGCTCGGCCGGTGGCTGCAGAGGTGGTGCCTGCGAGGGTGCTATGACGGACCTGTGCGGAGGTCTGCATGGCGCGGAGGGCCGCCGGCGAGTAAAAAAGCAAAATTGGAGAGGAGCGAGGTCCAGCCCTCGAGCAGGGGCGCTGATCCTGAAGAAGAAGAAGAGAGCATGACACGCCTCCTCTCTGAGGAGGCTCTCAGAAGACTTGTGTGCAGTACAGACGGTCCGGTTGAGGCAAAAAGTGGGGCCTCAGACCCTGGGCAGGGCCAAGAGGCTCGGAAGGCGTTGTAAACTGGATCATGGCACCCGTGAGCCGAAGTTCAGCCAGGGCAGGAAGACCACCTCTCCCGCCTGCGGGACGGACGGCGAGCCGGTGGGTCTGCTGCTGCCACTGTGGCAGGAGGCTGTGGCAGGAGGAATTCCACCGTCCAGTGGGATGCATTAAAATTGATTTGGTGTAGGACAAGAAATGGGTTTGTGGCATCTGTATGATTGAAGATGGAGATACACACTTATATAAGTATATTGTAGAACACACTTGGGGATTGGCAGCGTGGCTGCCAACAGGACCGGAACGTTTATGGGGGTATAGGTGGTGGGCACACCTGTCCCATAGTTGTGGCATGAAAACAGGCAGGAGGCTCTACATCAGCCCAGCTGCCAATCGGCATGCCCACCACGTCACCACAACCACGCACCATGACAGCAGCATGCGCCTTGAAAGGCTGCCCTTGCCTCTTCCACCAATGCTGTACAGCGCTAGGTCAGCAGAATCAAACAGCCGGCTGATGTGGCAGCACAGGCGGGCACGCCAGCCCGAGGTGGCTGACTGGGCCTCGTCTGCTGCTGGCGGCAACGCCTGCCAGGAGAAAAGAGAGAAAAGCGTGGGGAGGAGGACGGTAAGGGATAGCTGCAGGAAGGACACTGTGGCGTGGCAGACGCTGGGAGGTGGCGCCAGTCCTGCGCAGCACGGGCGGCACAGCCACTTTTTGGGCTTGCATGCCAGTCCAGGCGGCACGCCCACATGGCAGCACAAGGGAGGCATCAAGATGGATGCGGCCCACCTTGCGAGATTGCAGGTGCCACAATCACTGGATAGAGCGCCGGCGGAAGCAGCAGCACTAGGGGCAACGAGACAAGCTCCAGAAACCAGGCTGCGAGCGCCATGCGATGCTGCGTCAGCGGCGCTGTGAGGAGGTGTGTGGTGCAGTACCGGCAGCTAGGGAGCAGAGGAGGTGCCAGCAGTTGTGAACAGGTTGCGGTGTGTGAGGTGGCAAACTTTTAGGCAGCCAGCCATAGAGCTTGCATGCCAGCGCCGGCGCCAAGCGGATCGCGCCACAGCCAACTGGCGAGCACTGGGGAGCACTCGCACCCAGGGCTGTTGTAGGTAAGAGGCACATGTGTCAGCTGGGTGGCTAGGGTAACAGAAGGGCGGTGGTTGACCACCAGCCCAAAGGTCATTGAGTTGAAGAGGCGGGCACCTGCAGCCAGCAGGAGTGGAAGGCCAGTGGCAGTCAACAGAGGGCAAGCGCTGCCTGCTGTATATGGGCCACAACACGCACATTCTGTCTGTGTGTGAAATGATGGGGACAGTGTGAGCTGCCCGGCTGCCAGGCGCTCACCCACAATAACGCGGCCCACGTCCGCGGCTGCCCCCGACCATCCAGACCGCGGCAGGTGCTCCAGCACCATCGCCCCGCCAACCCCGATCCGTCGGAAGGATGGCACTGTGTGCAGCAATAGCCTCAGGGCTGGGGAGAGCCACGTTCTGCGGCACATGGCAGAGGCACCAGCACGCGGTGTGTTGATGGCTGGGTGCGGGACCCGGCGTGAGGCATGGGAGGGTCTCTGCTGGGCTCGCATACCTGTGCGTCCAGTAGTAGTGTGGCTGGGCCAGCAAGTAAGTCATCTCGCCAGTGGCGATTAAAATCACCATAATTGGCCCCGCCGCGTTTGTCCAGTCCCCCCGCCATGCTCGAGCGGTGATCGCAAACTGTCCAATTACCACCTGCAGGCAGAGTCACCACACGGGGCAACGGCAGCTGGTGAGGGCTGGCGGCACTGCAGAGGGGCCCAGGTCACAAGTTTGCCCCCCCTGTTGTATTGAATACGTAGAAAAGCATACCCACCAAGGCAAATGCAGTGAGATGCAGCAGGAAAGCTGGAGGGAGAGGCTGGCTGCTGCCTTGAAGCTCAGCCCCAGCCTGCCGCGTGCTGCCATCGGCGGCGGAGGCGGCGGTACTCCCCGCTGCTCGGCCGGTGGCTGCAGAGGTGGTGCCTGCGAGGGTGCTATGGCGGACCTCTGTGGAGGTCTGCATGGCGCGGAATGATCTGAAAAGTTTCCGCCTTGCCCGGAGTAGCAACGCGGGCGATTGTCGCGAGGTGGCTGGCTGCACAACGCTGCTGATCTTGTAGCCGTTGATGGAATGACATTGGTCCGCTGAAGATGGCTGCTTGCACAAAGACCGAGCGTGCAAGTTGAATGCAGTAAACGCAAACACATGGTGTCCTTCCTTTGGCATGCACCGAAGGCCTCCAGAAGGGCCCCTGGCACTCCATGCCGGAATCAAGCACAGCTCCGGGCCGGGGCAGCGTGCAGACGGCTCCCACCTGCAGGCCCGCCGCCGCCGCCAACGGCGGTTTTGCTATGCGGCTGGTACAGCTGGAATGTCTGTTACAGGTCTTTTACAGCCATTCGGGCAGCCATTCATGTCATGTAGGTAGAGTAAATCTGGAACAGATGTTGAGCAACCTGAGACCGCCGCCGGCGCCAGCTCAGCACTGCCCCCCATAAAAAGTCCCCCTCTTCTCTTTCGTCCAATTTCCGCATCGAAACCTTGCCACTGTCATCACTATATCAGCCTGGTTTGGGGCGAGGCTCTTGCACGAGACAGCCCCCGGGCGGCAGCCCCTGTGGGAAGGTCGGGGTGAGCTCTTGAACCTGCCTGCCGCCGTCTCAAAAGGCTTGACGCATACCAAGGTCGTGGAGGCGAGAGAGTCCCCAACAAGGCTGCCGGCGCTCAGCATCGGCCCCATTTGTCGTGATGGCGACTCTCGGGCCTCCTCCTTCCTGCAGGGCGATTCAAGCGGCCATAGGACCGGTTGAAGGAATGCAGAGCGACATGAAACAGACGGCGCCGGCCTCCGCTCCTGCTGGGGCCGCGGCACAGCCCGGCGCCGAGCGGCGGCCCTCGCTGCCCATGCTGCTGCCGGGGGGCAGCCTGACCACCCTAGGCCTCAGCGGCCTGGGGCTGGGCAGCATGTCACTGGGCAGCCAGGACCTGACGAGCCTGCTGGACTCCACCCTCCAGCACATGCAGACGCTGTCACGTGAGGGCGCCTGCTTGCCCGCCTGTCCCCGCCTGCCTGCCTGCCTGCCTGCCTGCGGGAACCACCGTCCCCTCCTGCCTTTCCTGCCTGCAGGGCAGGACATGGACCTGCTGGCCAGCCCCAAGTGGAAAGCGCTGCTGAGCTGGGAGGAGGAGGCGGCGGGCAGCAGCCCCATGCACCTGGACACAGGCGGCAGCAGCGCCGCCACTCGGCTGCCGCCGCACTGCGGCTTCGACAGCGACGACGCGGGTCCGGTGTCCCCAGGCGTGGACCAGGAGGTGGGAGAAGCCGCCCTGGCAGCTGCCTGGAAGCTGGTACAGGCCCAGGCCCAGGGCCAGGGCGCCACGCTGGTGCTGGTACCGCAGGGCAGCGAGCATCCCAGCCAGCAGCAGCAGCAGCAGCCCCGCCGCGGCGGCGGCGGCGGCAAGAAGCGGCCCTTGGCGCACGACGGCGGCGGCTCCCCCGCGGCCAAGCAACCCAAACGGGAGCAGGAGGAGGAGGCGGAGGCGCCGCATGCACAGGGGCGTCTAGCGGCCGCGCCCTCGGGGGATGCCATGGTGCTAGATGCAGAGGTGGCGGCGGCAGAGGCGGCGGCCGCCATGGCTGCCTTTGATGCCGCGGCGGCGGGAGAGTTTGGCAGCCCGCTGGGCCTGAGCCTCAGCCCCGATGTGGTGGCGGGCCTGGACCGCGTGCGCCTGAACAGCATCGGCAGCCCGGCCCAGCAGCGGCGGCTGACGGCCGCGGCCGCGGCAGCCGCGGTGACGCCGTCGGGGCGCCGCGGCGGCGTGCGGCGGGGCGACAGCAACGTCCCCATGCTGATGGCTGAGCTGCCCGGCAGCCCGACCGCGGGAGCAGCCGCGCTGTCGCCCAGCCCAGAGCCTGCTGGCGTCGGCGGCAGCGACGGCACGCCTGCCGCGCCGCCCGCCAGGCCAGCTGCCGTCAAGGCCGAGCCGGCCGCCTCCGCCGGGCCAAGGCAAACCGCCGCTGGGGGCGAGACGGGGATGGCGGCGCCGCCGCCACGGAGCGCGGCGCAGGGCGCTGTGCCTCGCCAGCAGCTGCCCAGCAAGAGTCACAAGGCTGTGGCGACAGGTGGGCCCAGGGCCTGCCTGCCTGCCTGCCTGCTGCCGGCAGCAACCACGCCTCGCCTCGCGAACTGCTGCCCATACCGCCCTGTCGGCTGCCTTGCCTGCCCTCTCCCCGCTCACCCACCCCCACCCACCTGCCTGCCTGCCCACCTGCCTGCCTGCCCTGCGCTCCCTGTGCGCAGGCGAGGGCGGCGTGTTCACCTCGCCATTCCGAGGCGTTACGCGGCACCGCCTGACGGGGCGGTACGAGGCCCACTTCTGGGACTCCAGCTATGTGCGACCCAACACGGTGAGCTGCTGGTGGCAGGAGAGGGACAACGAAATGGGGGTGGTGGCAGGAGGGCCGGCAAGTGGAGAGTGGCGCGGCGGGTGTGATGGACATGCGTCGGCGGAGGGGGCCGCCAGTCACCCCGCGAGAAAGGTTGTGCTTCGCCAAGCTCCAGCTGCCAGTACCGGTACCGCCCACAGCCTGCCAACCCGCCCACCCCCTCCCCGCCTGCGCTCCTGCGCCCTGCCGCCTGCCCGCTGCCGTCACCCGGCCCAGCTCCTCCCGCCGCCGCCCGCTTCCTGCTTCCTGCTTCTGCGGCACGCCCCCCGATCTGCGCCGCCACCCCAGCCCCATCCCTGCCCTGCCCTCCATCGCTGCAGAAAAAGGGCGGGCGCAGCCGAGGCCGCCAGATCTACCTGGGAGGCTACGAGACCGAGCTGGAGGCGGCCAGAGCGTACGACCGAGCGGTGATCGCGCACTGCGGGTCCAAGGCTCCGCTCAACGTGAGGCGTGCTGGCCTGCGGTGCCTCGCTAGCTGAGGAGGCTGCTTGGGGCAGGCCGCTAGCAAGGGGCAGGGGCGGCGCCCTCCCCGCCTCCCAGCGCAAGCCCACGCTGCAGCCTGGCATCACCGCCCCTGCTCCGCGCCTCTGCCACCGCCGCCCCTGCACACGTCCCCACCACCGTACCGCCGCCGACGGTGCCAGCACTATGGTTGTACTGACATGGTACCGCCACTGTACCGCCTGCAGTTCCTGCTGGACGACTACAGCGAGGACCTGGCCTGGATCCAGGGGCGCACTCCCGAGGAGGTGGTGGGCATCCTGCGCCGGGGCAGCGTGGGCTTCGCAAGGCGCGCGGTGTAGAAAGGAGCATTGGCTGCTTGCCAGCATGCCCACTCGCCCAGCCAGCCAGACAGCGCGTGTTCCATGCCTCAGCGACCGGCAGCCCGCTGCTGACGCCAGGGCGCGCCTGCCTGCGCGCCTGCCTGCGCCGCTTGCATGCGCGCACACAGCCTTGCCCCGCGCGACCGCGCCGCCTGTGCCCCGCATGCGTGGCTGCTGCAGGGGGCAGAGCCAGTACCGTGGCGTGACGCGGCACCACCAGCAGAGCAAGTGGGAGGCGCGCATCGGGCGGGTGGAGGGCAACAAGTATCTCTACCTCGGCACCTATGACACAGCAGGTGGGCATGACCTGGGGTGCTTGCTAGCACGGTTGCTTGCGCGGGCACCAGCTGGTGCTCCTGGCTGCCTGCTGGCACCCCTGAGAGGCGTCGACAGGAGCCGCATGCGCCGCGTCTTCAGGCAGCTGTATGCCCTGCCCCTGCAGAGGACGCAGCCCGGGCGTATGACCGGGCATGTGTGAAGTTCCGTGGCAGCAAGGTGAGCTAGGCGGGTGGCTCGGCATGGTGGTGCAGGCACCTCTGCCACAGGGGAAGCCGACAGGGCACCCCCACCTCCCGCTTGCTGCTGGCATCTGTCTGTCGGAACACAGCTAGCGTTCCGCCAGATCCAGGCTGCGCATCTGCCACACGCGCAGCCCTGCCCTCCTCACGTCCTCACACGCACACAGCAACATGCCTCCTCACCTCCCCCTGCTCTTTGCGGATGGGATGCCCACCTCACACCTCTCACCATCCTGCTCCACATCATGCTGCCTGCAGGCCATCCTCAACTTCGATCTATCCCACTACCAAGACATTCTGGACAACCCAGATGCTTATGAGCCTGTGGAAGCAACTGGCAGCGCCCCTGCCACCAGCATTGCCGCGCCCACGCCTGGCAACAGCTCAGGCGCCAACCGCGGCTCCGCCAGAGCACAGGCCGGGCTGGGCCCGGCCGCGCCGGCAGCTGCAGCGCTGCCAGGAGCTCCGTTCATGGTGTCTCCTTCCGCGGCCGCTGCCGCTGCCGCGGCCGCGGCCGCGTCGGCTATGGCTGGGGGCACCACGCAGGGCAGCGCCCTGTTCCTGCCGCTGATGCAGCCCATGCAGCTGGGAGCGCTGGGGGTGCAGCAACAGTTTGGGATGTCATTCTCACTTCAGCCGCCCATGGCCCAATTCCAGCACGGCAGCAACCCCGCCGCTGCTGCAGCCATTGCTGCCGCCGCGGCAGCGGCTCAAGCAGCAGGGCCCCCGCGCCTGGCAGCCATCCGCACCCGGGGAGGTGCAGCTGCCGCCGCGGCAGCAGTCCCCAGAACCGCTTCGCTGGGAGATTTCGGGCGGTTTGCAGCCGGGGGCGACAGCGGTGGTACTGGCGGCAGCACTCCTGGCTCCTCCGGATCCGGAGATGGCAGCGGGCCGGCTGGTTCTGGGCTGGACCTTTCTGACTTCCTGCTGTCCCCGCTGGCAGCCAGCCTGCTGAGCCCGCTGGGCCTGTCAGGGTCGCCTAGCGGTGAGCCCAAGCTCCTGTGTGGTGCAGCAGGCAGGCAGGCATTCCGCCTTTGCCGCTGGACAGCAAAGCGAAGCTAGCCCTACCAGCCTTTCAGTGTCAACCTCAACGCGCTGCCACCTCTTCACTTTCTTCCTTGTGTGCAGGGTGGAAGGACTCACCGCTAGGCCGGCTGGCCACAGGGGAGCTCAGCCGCCTGCTGTCAGGTGCAGATTTTGGGGTCTCCTGGTGCTGTGCTGTGCTGCGCTGTGCTGTGCTGCGCTGACTTTGAGCTTTTCTGCTCTGCTGCGCTGTTCTGTCGAACCTTGCCGGCATTGCTATACTCCGCCGCGCGGCCGTGCTGTGATCTCTGCCTGCCGCCTGCCCCTCTTGTGCAGGCGTTTCCTCGCCCGCCGGTTTTCTGAGCCCCGCCAGGCACCGCCTGCACCACAGCAGCAGCGGCGCGGGCGGCAGCGGCAGCGGCAGCGGGCCCAGCCGGCTCCAGAGCACCACCAGTGAGATGGATCTGCTGTCAGCGCTCCAGGTGTGGGCAAGGCACAACGTTTTTGTTTCCATTCTCCTTTCTGGCACTGTAGAGTGCCAGCACCGCGAATGGTGCACCCTGTCTACTGCTCCAACCTTGTTGCCTCACCTGCTGTGCTCTCTGCAGTGGTTGGATAGCCTTGACCCTGCCCAGGTGGCTGCGATGACTGCTATGGAATCACCCGCTGCCACAGATGCCGCCACCTGCGCCGCCGCTGGCGGTGGCGCGACCAGCGGGAGCGGCGAGGGGAGCGGCGGAGCGGCTGGGGGCAGGGCGGCAGGGCCTCCTGGGAAGCAGGGCGATGCCGGCAAGGCATAGCCGTGCCAAGCGCCAGCGGGCACTACAGAGGGTACCAGGCTGCAAGACTGCCTGTGCCGAAGCTGCTGCGGCTGGCAAGCCACCACCCCAGACCACATGCAGCGTGCCGGGAGGCGCCAGTGTGACTGGATCTGAGTTGACATTGAAATTGAGCCAGGTTCACTACACACCCCCTACTAAATTCAGTTTCGTATTGGGTTTCATGATGTTTACACCGGGGCTCCTGCAACGGAGCGGATCTGTGTGGCAGTGCTAAGTTACCAGGGTTTTACCAGGGCTCTAGCCAGGAAGCAAGTGAGACATGGAAGGAATACATGGGGCCAGCGAAGCGGCGAGGCATGCAGCAGCGGCGCCTGGGGGGCCGCTCCAGCTGCCACGGCGCTGCACTGCAGGCACACACCGCACAGAGGGCGATACAATGCCTGCCCGCCTGCAGCAGCCAGCCGCAATGGCGGCCCAGCTGCTGCAGCACGGGGCACGAGGGGCAGCTAAGTGGGGGTGCAGCTGCCGTGGTGGGCTGGGCAGTGTGGTGTCAGTGGATGGGGGCGGGTCAAAGCAGGGAGAGGGTCAGTCTGGTGGGTCAGTCAAGTCGGTTCATCTGTATCCAAGGAAGGAATGGTCCTGGTCCTGAATAGAGGCTGTCAAACACAAAAATGGGGCCTAGTCTGGCAGAGAGGGTCGTGTGTGGCATGCTGCTTGCAGGGGCCGCGCCTGCCGGTCAACGGAACACCGGGGCGGGCAGGAAGGATGGGGCAGCACGCGCCGCTATGTGTGGGCGCGTGCACAAAGGGTGGCTGCGTGTTTCAGCAGCCGTCGCGGCGGCGAGGCGAGCGCGTCCCCCCTCACAGCTGCAGCTGGAAGAAGGGATGCTGCAGCGCCTCGGCGGCGGTGATGCGGTCGCCGGCCCGGAACTTGAGCATGCCCTGCAGCAGGTCTGCAGGCCAGGGCAGGGGGCATGCCGCAGCGAGGCAGCAGAGGGTCAGCTGGGGCGGCCGTGAGGAGCCCTTGGTTGGAAGCATGGGAAGGGGATTGCAGAGGGGATCGGCAGCGGGGACTGGCAAGGGACAAGCGGGGGAGGTTTGGGGGTCTCCCACAGAGCAGCATCAGGGGCTGGCATCATGGATTGCCTCACAGCCTGCCTGCGGGCCCGCTGCCCTGGCTGCTCACCCACTATCGTGTCCAGGTGCGAGCGCACCGCATCCTCGCTGTGCTGCCTCAAGTAGTCGCGCAGCTTCTTCAGCTTCTGCGGGTGACGGGCGGGAGGCGGTGGTGGGTCAGGTTTGGTGCGGGTGAGTGGTCAGTGTGGGGGGTAGGTGGGTGGGTGGGCAGAAGGGCAGAAAAACTGAAGGGACGCGCAGGGTGCATGCGCCAGCTTGCGGGGCCGGCAACACGCAGAGGCATGTGCGCAACATGCAGGCAGGGCAAGGCGCGGCGCACCTTGACTGCCTTGACGCTCTTCTTGCTCTCCGCGCCCTCTGGCCAGTTGAGCTTATTCCTGCAGGCCGGCGGGCAGGCGGGCCACCCCACATGCAGGTTGTCTCATCCAGCCTCAAACACAAACAGCGAGACCTTGGGGCACTATCCAATACGCCCTGGGCCCCACCCCATCCTAGGCCCAGCCCTGTGCGGGGCCCCGCCAGGCCCCCAACCTCCCCACACAGCCCCGCCCGCCGCGTGGGCTCGCCTGCGGAACAGTCCCCGCACGTTGTCGGCTGCCGCGGCGGCCATGGATGGCGGGATGGGCCCCAGCACCGCCTCCATCATCGCCAGGTGCTCCAGGTTCTCGTGTGTCTGGAACAGCGCGTCGCCTGCAGCCCAGGAATGAAGCGCGAGACCAAGCGTGAGTCGGGCGGCAAGGAGCCGGCGGGAACGAGCAACGGGGCAGACAGCCAACCAAGATATGGGCAGGCAGCTGGCTAGGCGGGGGCACGCATGCCGACACCGCCGCGGCACACTCCACACCCCTGCTGCCCGCCATGCGCGGTCGGCGCGCCCCCGCTCTGAGCCAAGCCCACCTGTGAGCAGCTCGATGAGGATGCATCCCATGGACCAGAGGTCGCATGGGAAGGACCACCCCAGCCCCAGGATCACCTCGGGAGCCCTGCGGGCGCCAGGGAGACAGGGAGGCCATCCACAGTTTCTCAGGGAGAGTGCAGGGCAGCAGCAGCGCCGGCCACGGCACCCGAGCCGCCGGCAGCGCGGCTCTCCCCACCAGCACGCGCCGCTACCCCGGCGGCTGGCATCGCGGCTGCTGCAGCTGCTGCGCAGGGCGCCCCGGCGCTGCACCGCCACACCCCCTCCTGGCCTGGCCCCACAGCCCCGCCCCACGCCCTGCGCTGCCCAGGGGAGCGACAGCCAGCCCGCGCGAACCGCGCACCGATAGTGCCGCGTGCTGACGATGGAGGAGTGATAGTCGGAGTTGAAGATGGCGCTGCCAAAGTCGATCACGCGGATGTCGGCGCTCACGGGCAGCTTCTTGCCCACCCTGCACGCATGGCGGGGGCAGCGGCGGGTGCCATGGTTGGCGGCGGCGGCGGCGGGGGCTGGCCGTGGCTGAGGTGGGCGTGTAAGGGTGTGTGCCAGCGGCCGAACAGCAGGCCGGGAGGAGGCACGAGAGGCCGTGCAGCTGGCTGGCTGCACACGAGAGCGGCTGCGCCTCACTTGCTGTTGCCGGGCGCGTCCTTTGTGAGCTCCTGGGACAGCACCAGGATGTTCTCTGCACACGGGCAGGCAGGCAGGCAGATGGGAGGCAGGCAAGCGAGACCAAGACACACCGACATAAGTATTTGACGTATGTCAGGCGGCCCCGTGACGCACACCCCACAGGCTCCCCTCACGCCATGCCCGCCGCTGCGCAGCAGGCAGCCGCCGCTTCGTTGGCTGTGGCCTGGGCTTGCCTGGCTTCAGGTCTGTGTGCACCAGCTGGAGGTCATGCATGAACGACACGCTCTGCAGCAGCTGCCGGGCAAAGGCCTGGGCCTGCGGGGCGGCGGGGAGGGCCGGCGCATGGGGCAGCGCGTCAGAGGCGCCGGGGTGTCGCGCCGTGGGGCAGCCGCAAACACCTGGGGCGCCGCCAGCCCCGCATTCCCAAGCAAAGCCTCGCCATGCGGCCCCGTCCCGCCTGTCACAGCCTGGCTGGCTCCCCTTCGGCGGCGCGGCCAAACAGACGACAAAGCCAAAACAAACGACAATTTAAATAAGGCGTCAGCAGCGCACCATGGCCAGCGGGAAGGGCTTGTAGCCGTTCTTGCGCAGGATGTCGTACAGGCTGGGGCCCAGCCGCTCAAACACCATGCACACGTGGCCCCGGTAGTCAAACCACTCCAGCAGCTGCAGGGCGGGACAGCCAGAGGGAAAGACACTCCAGGGCCAGTCAGGGCCTGGCGGGGCTTTCAGCGGCGGCGCCACCCGGGCCGCTGCCGCAGCTCGCGATGCGCCCGGCGCCCCCACCAGCACCCGCCGCCCCCACCCGCACCTGCACGCAGTGCAGGTCCTGGCTGGGGTCGTTTGCTGCGAGGGTGTTGAGGGCCTCCAGCTCCACCATGGCGGCGTCGCGGTACTTCTGCAGTACAGCAGTACAGGGTACAGGCACGGGTGTGGTACCACACGGCGAGCAGGGCCAATGGAAGAAAGGCGGGTGAGCTGGGCTGAGCGGGCCGCCAATGCCGCACGCTGCCCCTGCCACGATCCCTGGCATTGTACTGCACCTGTATGTTGCGGATGATCTTCACAGCCACATAGTCCTTGCGCTTGCGGTCCCAGCACTCCAGCACCTGCAGGCCGGCAAGCCCACGCACCAGCATGCCCTGTGACGCGAAGATTGGTGCCTCGCTGGCACACCCCCAGGCCCCCACACCGCCGGCGCCCAGAAAAGTCGCAGGCGCCGGTCTCCAGGGCTGTCCTCCTGCGGCCGCCCATCACGCAACACAAGCGCCAGCGCTGTGGGTGCGCCGCCGCTCCCATTTGTGCGCCCACGCGCCTGGCCAAAGGTGCCCTCCCCAAACTTGCGCATGATCTTGAACCGCGGGGCCAGGTTCTCGCCTATCTCAAACTGGTAGTGCCCATTCTCGTCGTCCTCCCTGCAGGGAGGAGTGACAGCGCAGTGCAGCGCAGCGCAGGGCAGGTAGGCCAGTCAGCGCCGCGACCGATGCCCGGCCCTGCCGCCGGCCAGATGGCGGGGAGCCGATCCAGAGTGGTGCTGCGTGCAGAGCAGCAGTCGGTGCGCGTGGCTCCCCACCGCCACTGCCACGTGCCTGAACGGCGGCGACGGCCGCTCAAAGCCGCGGCGCAGCTCGTAGGCTGGGAGCGGTGCAGGCACGCCTGTGCGCATGACGCGCCGCCGCTTGGCGGGCGGCTGCGCCGCCGCCGCCTCTGCCGCGGGCGCCGTGTGCCGCGCCGACTGCTCGCCCTGCGCATGCTGCCGGCTCTGCTGCGCGTGGTGCCGCGGCGCCAGGGGCGGCCCCGCAGCCGGGGGCCCTGCTGCCGTGGTGGGCGCGTCGGCAGACCCTCCCCGCGGCCCTCCGCAGGAGTCTGTCCTATCCAGCTGCTGGCTGCTGCCCACCGCGCTGTCTGTTCTCGCCGCCGCCTCGGCAGCTAACAACCGCTTCTGCGCACTGCGCAGGTGCATGGCGGGGCCCGCCCCGGCCGGCTGCTGCTGCTCCTGCGTGGCGGCGGCGTCTGCGGCGCGCGGCCGCTTGCCGGGCCGGCCGGCGCTGCCCACCAATGGGTTAGACTCCCCCAGAGAGGAGCCTGCGACGTCCTCTTCACCCTGCTGTTGCATGCCGGGCGCACTGGGCATCCGCTGCTGGGAGCGGCTCCTTCCTCAACGCTCTCCTGCAGAGGGATGTCGCGACGGCGGATCAGTCGGGCGGCCGCATCCGGCCGCTGCCGCCTGCCCCTTCCGCTGCCCTTGTGCCCCTCCCAGTTTCATATGCTGGTCACTATGGCGCCTGTGGCCCCCTCAGGGGCACGCTACGACGTCGGAATCCCGTGATGTTACGCCGGCCCCCCACACACTCTACCGCGGCGCAAGCAGGGGACGCAGCACCGCCCTTGACTTATTCCACTGGCGAGCAAGCCCCTCCACCTCGTTGCAAACAACCACCCTCCGCCACAATGACATCCACCGGCAACTGACCTGTTAACCACTCCCCTCGGCAGTTTCTGCAATTGTGGAACTGCAAAACTGCTGGGCTCGCAGAAGCAACCGACTCGCTGACAATGGCGTGGGAGTGGGCGTTCAAGGCCACAACTGCCGGCAGCCTGGAGCCAGAAGAAGGATACATGCGACGTGGGTCCGGAGCGAGAGGAGGCGGCGGCATTTTGGGCGCCCGGAAGGAGTGACCTGGCTGGGCGCCGGCGCGCCGGCACCCGTGCTCACCTAATTTTCGGGCACGCCTCGGCTTGCAAGCCCTACCCACAGCAATGCAGCAGATGCCGATGACACTGATCCGTTTATGACACTCCTGTGCACACCAGTGCTGGAGGGCTCAGCTTGACGTCATGGCGCCGTCGACGGCGGCGTTAGCCGGCCAGCAGCACCTCCCCTCTGCAGTGTGCGCCCGTGACTGCGCCTTCCTAACAATTTCTCAAGGCAGATGGAGCACAGATAGATGAAACATAGCCAAGAACCACCACCCTGTTAACCACCGGGCTGTGCCCGCTGCGCGGGACCGGTGGTGGGTCCAGCAGCGCATGCAAGCTTGCGGGGTGCCGACCGATGCCCAGCGAACTGCTCGGAGGGTGTGCATGGCTTGGGGCAGAGCATGGGTGAACACAATCAAATGAAATGCAAGACATGTCGAGGCATATACGTGCCTGCCACCGCTGTACACATATGTGTGCGGCGGCAGCTGCCGGTGCACGGGGCGCCGCCCCTGTCAGGGCCGCACGGCCTTTCGGCCGCAGCTGCCGTTCTTCATGGGGCTGCCCGAATTAACTGGGCTCCTTGCCAAAATGCCCACAACCTCCCACAGGGCCGCCCTGCGGCAGGATGCTCCGCCCACTACGGACGGCAACAAATCCAGGATGATGCGACCAGTCGCCTCCAGACGGTCTGCAAACGCTCTTTCAAGTCTCAATAAGTTCATCCCAGCGTTCTGACCGCCGTTCTCCTTGGGGCAAGCGCCATGAGTCACACGGCCACTCGCCTGGAGCAGTGGGTGGTGCCGCAGGCAGGCATGCAACGTAGCAGGGAGTCCGTGTGGGCGCCTGCAGCGGCCGCCCGGAGCTTGGCGGACCCGGTGCCCCTGGCAGCGCCGGCGCCGGCTGTGGCGGTGCGCACCCCTGGACGCGCCGCTTCGCAGCCAGGCCAGGAAAGCCACCGCAGCGCTCAGCCGCTCCCACCGTTGCCTCCGGCCTACACCCTGCACAAGATAAGCGCCATCCTGTCGACTGTGGCCCAACTGGCTGTCGCATTGGCGCAGCTCAGCAGCGGCGCCGGGACCGCCTCGGTGCAAGCCCAACCCCTGGTGGTGGCGCTCTTTCTCGGACTGGTGACCGCTTTTGTCAGCTTGCGGCCGCACATGTATTGGACCAATAGGTGCGTCCACACTCAACCTCCCTGCGAAATTCATAGGCATAGCTGGCGGCCTGAGTGCTGGTCACCGCGACCGCTGCTTGTGACTGCTGCAGGGTGTGGCTCCAGTCGGCCCTCCGCATCCTGCTTTCTGCGATGCCCAGCTTCAGGCGCACCGGCGTGGGCACTGCGCTGTTGCTAGAGCGCCAGCCGGCGCAGGGCCTGGCAGGCGCAGCCATTGACCTTGCTCGCGTCATAGCAGGTAGGCACCTCTACGCTCTCCCTCGTCTCAGCGACCCAGTCATGGCGTTCACAGCATTTGTTTGGCACTGTGCTTGCCAGGCCCAGCAAGCCGAAGCTCATGCTGCGCTGCCCCCTGCCGCAGGCACCCGGCTGCTGGGCTCGGCGTTGGCGGCGCTGTTGACACCGCAGCCGCCGGCCGCCACGCTGGCCACGCAGCTGGTGCTGGCCGCCCTCATCCACAACTCTCCCGGCTACTGCTCCACGCCCCTGCTCACAGCGCCGCTCGTGCAGCACCGCACCGCGCTGCTTGCCGCCGGGCTGGAGGTCCTGGCGGCGCCGCTGGTGCTGGTGCTGCCGCCGGCGCTGTACCCTGTGATGATGGCTTCCATGTCGCAAGGTGGGAGGGTGCCGGCATACGATAGTGGCTTGGCAAGGAGGCTGGTATGTTGCAGCACAGTCGGCTGGAGCGCTGAGCCCGGTTAGCTGCAGACCTTTTGAGGCCTGCGCATCGGCATGCTCGCGTGCCAGCTGCACTGATGCACGCAGCGCCTGCGCCCCTGCTCCTGCTGCTGCAGGCCGTGCGCCCGCTGACGGCGTCTGCCGCGCCGCCGTCTCTTTCCTGCATCTGGCGCTCGGGGTGGTGCTGCCGACGCTCGCGTCGCTATACAGCTGGCGCAAGCCCGCGCGGCGCACGCCGCCGTCCTCGCCGTCGACGCAGCATGCCCAGCAACGCTCCCCCCTGCTCCGGCTCCGCCTGCGCGCCGGCAAGCTGGCGGCAGCGGCCGACCACCAGTTGCACTGTGTGCTGGACAGGAGGGCCGACCCGCTGCAGCGCGCCCTCGTGTCTTGGCTGCTGGCTGTTGGGACCTGGTGGGCTTGCAAGCTGGCTGCTGGCATTCTCTGAATGAATGGGCCCAACCGAAAGGCCCCTTACAAACAGCAGCAGCAACTGTAAGGGTGCAAGAACAGCAACCACGTTGGCAAAAGTAGACAGACAGGCAGGAGCAATCCCTGGGGTCAGTGCTTGGGATGGAACGAGGCTAGCAGTGCTGTGGTCGGCAAAACAATTGATGGGTAGGAAGAGCTGCGCGGCACAGTTTGGCTGGCAGCAGCTGGCGGCTGTTCAGCAGACAAACATCCCACCACACCAGAAGCGCAGCTGCCTGCCTGTTCCAGCTTGCGCATCGCCCCTGCCGCCGCGGCATCTCAGGGCGACGCAGCTGCCAGCCGCGGCGCCTCTGCTCCAGAGCTGCTGGCGCGCGATCTGCCTGCCGCGCCCGGGGACGCGGCGCCAGGCGCCTCGCCGCTGCTGCTGGCAGCGCCGGGCGTGCTACCCAGAGGCGAGGCGGCAGCGGCGGCCGCCGCCCGCGCCTCTGCCTCCTCAGAATCGCCGGCGGGAGTTGGGGCACGCTGGTCTGTGCGGAACTGAGGCGTGGCGGGCGCAGCTGGCGGCGGCGCGACCGCACCCTGGGGCACGGCCGCCGGTGCTGGCGGGGCGGGCGCAGCTGGGCCTGCCGCCGCGTTTCGGCGCGCGGGGCGCTCTGGCAGGCGCGGCCCGCCCACCACCCGCCGCTGCTGAGGGGCGGGGATGGGCGGCTCGGCAGCGTCGGGGCCCCCAGCCTGCACCCCTGCATCGTGCCGCTCCGCAGGCGCTGCCGCCACCGCTGCCTCGCCGCCTGCCGCACCCGGCTGCTCTGCCTCCCCAGCCCCCGCTTCTGCTGCCCCCGCTGCCGCCAGCTCCGCAGGACCATTGGCCAACGGCTCGTCGCCAGCCGCTGCCGCCGCCGCTGCCGCCGCCGCCGCCGCCGCAGCAGCAGCAGCGGGGTGCACGGCCTGCCCCACCAACACGATCCCACCGGCCGCCGCCGGCTGCGCCCGCTGCTGCTGCTGCTGCGGCCAGCCAGGCTCTGCGCCGTCGCCAGCGGGCTCGGCTCCCCCTGCTGCTGCCGCGCCGTCGGCGCCGGCGCCGGCGCCGCCAGCTGGCGCCCAGCGGTTCATGAGCGCCAGCATGTATCCGTTGGCCGCCACGCTGGCGCCCAGCGAACTGGCCCACATGGCAAAGCCGCGGCCGCGAGGGCTGGCCGCGCCCACCCCGTTGCCTGCAGGGACAGCAGGCAAGGAGAGACGACGGGGCCTGCGTGGCTGGTAGGCACGGCACCACACAGCGCGTGCCAGCACGTGCCAGCACGTGCCCTGCCACGGCACCAGCAGCTCCCGAAGCAGCGCGGCACACGCAGCAGGCCCGGCGGCAGGCACGCACCCAGGGTCACCGCCGCAAGGACCACCGTCACGCGCAGTGCATGCAGGACGCAGCGCAGCGCCAGCCGCCGCAGTCGCTCCCGCCGGCTGCCGGCGGCCTTGAGCAGCAGCGCGCTGGCCTCCAGCAGGCACGACACCAGGAAGTCGGCTGCATGGGGCAGGAGGAGCGGGTGGTGTGGAGCGGTGCGCGCGCGTGTGTGTGTCTCTCGGGGTCGGGATGCCAGGATAAGGCAGGTGGGCAGGCAGGCGAAGCACAGGCCCGAAGCACAGGCCAGCCAGTTCGCCGCCACAGAGGCGAACTTGGCCGCACGCAGGAAGCACGCAGTCAGCAGGGCAGCACGCCTCACCAGCCCACCACGTTGCCTCCGAGAACGCCGCGGTCCTGGCCACCCGCGGCAGGCGCAGGTACCAGGGCAGCCTGCCCTTGCGCACAGCCGATTGCCGCAGGTCTGCGCAGCAGCGGGCAGCCGGCGGGCCGTGGCGGGGCCGTGAGGGCAGCAGGGAGGCCTGGCGACAGCGGCAAGGCACGCGGCGGCAGCGGCGCAGAGTACCAGCCGCGGCAAGGGTCAGGCAGCCCGCACTCAGCAGCGGCAGCCCGCATCCAGCGGCGGCAGCGGGCCGGGCGGCACCCACCCTTGATGAGCTTCTTGGCCACCGCAGGCGGCAGCCGCTGCACCGCCTGCGCATCCAACCCCGCCCGCGTGGCCTGTACCGCCAGGTCGACGCATGCATTGTACCCGCCTCGCTGGCAGGCCACAACTATCTCCTCTACTTTCAGCGGCGGGACGTTTGGCTCCCGCCCCTGTTGGCAGGAGCAGGAGGGGGGAGGGTGGCGGCGGCAGCAGGCGCGCGTGGGCGGCTGCTGACGGGAGCATGAGGATGGGTGAAGTGGCAGCCATGGCGGCATGAGGTCAGGCGAGAAGCGAGCAACGGCGGCTGGGTGAGCATGCATTTCCTGCACTGCAAGATCCTGGCGTGCCGCAGCAGCTGGCCAGGGGGGGCAGCCAGCCTGGCTAAGCCGTCAGCAGCAGGACCCACCTCAGCCTCCGCCGCCTCCTCCTCCTCCAGAGCCGCCAGCAGCCACTTGTTGACGGTGATCAGCACTGACAGGCCCACGCTGCAGGCAACAGGGCGGCGCAGGAGGCATGAACAACATCAGGCAACCGCCGCAACAGCAGGCACCGCCGCCACACACGCTGCCAACCACACCACAGCCAGCTGACCTGCGTCAGCGGTCAGCTCAATGCCCCTGTAATGCAAGGCCATGCTGGCACATAGGCAAGGCAATCCCATGCACAGCCGAGGCTCACTTGCGGCCGACGGTGAAGGCAACATGGCCGGCAGTGGTCAGTTTGGCCAGCGCTGCGTAGCCCACGGGGCGCTTGGGCTTGGGGGTGGCCAGCGCCCGCTGCTGGGCCGATCCGTACAAGCTCTGCGGCAGTGCGGCAGCATGAGGACGGTATGGGAAATGGGGATGTGCAGGGGTTGGCGCGGGGCCGGGAGAGGCCTGCAGGCGGCGAGAGCGGGTGGGCGGAACGGCGGGAGCTGTCCCTCCCCGGCCGCTGCCCTGCCCTGCGGCACGCACCAGGAAGGCCTCATCGTCGTAGGCCGGCCTCTGCACGAAGCAGAGCGCCGGGTTGCTGCTGCTTTGCGCAAGGTCGGCTGCCAGCCCTGCCAGGGCGGAAGCCACCAGGGCTTTGGTAGGCCCATGCAGCAGCTGCAAGGTTGTCTGCATCGGCGCCAGACTCGGCAGGAGGCAGCCCAGCTGGGCGGGAGCGAAACAGCTTGCGCCGGATGAGCTCTGGGCGCCTGCAGACCTCGCAGTTGAGCGTGTCAATCTGCCCTTGGGTGGGGCCGACCACCCCTGATCGATCCGCAGACTGCAGGCGCCTGCCCCCATAGCTGTACAGAATTGTTTCACCCCTCCACCCAACCCCCGGCACTCCCATCGGGCCTCCACAGAAGCTTTTAACACATTCCAGTTCCTTGTCGCCTCTCCCGCCCACAGTCTCCCAACTTCTTGCCTCAGCCTTGAGCCGCAGCCGCATTGCGCCAGCGGTGAGCCAAATTACGCACCGTCCTAGCATCAGACATCATGCAGCTAGCAGCAGGTGAGGCGGGAGTGGTGGCGAGGTGGTGATGCCGTGCGCACAGGCGCAAGCCAGACCAGCGCCAGCGCCTGCAACCGAGTGCCTGCGGCCTTCACGAGGCCGGGATCCACACTCCATGCACATCCGCCCCTCCTCCCTTGGGCCCTGCAGCGCCTAGGGCCGCCGCGGCGTTCACGCGCGCCCGCCCCGCCACGCGCGCGGTGGCGGTGCGCGCGGCGCGGCCGCAGGTCACCTGCATGGCCAGCAGCATGGAGTTCATCAAGGGCATCGAGGAGCCCACCATCCCCGACGTCAAGCTCACCCGCAGCAGGGACGGCGCCAGCGGCACAGGTGCGTCATGGTCGCGTGCGTGGGGCACCTTGTGCCCATGCAGAGCCGGCGCTGCCGACACTTGCAGCGGGGCCGCAGCTCCAGTCATGCATGCATGCACTTGTTCCGTCGATACAAGCCAATTAACCATGGGGCCCTACAGCTCCCAGCCGTCCGCCATCCAACCAGGCCTGCCGCGTGCCTTGCTGCCTCTTTTTTTCTGCAGCGACCTTTGTGTTCCAGAACCCGGCCATCTTCGAGGCCAGCAGCGAGCTGGGCGACATCACGGGGCTGTACATGAACGACGACGAGGGCACCATCCAGGTCTGCTGGGTGCTGCGTGTGGTGGTGCCGGATGGTGTGGCTGTCATTGTCTTGTGTGGCCAGGGTGTGTGTGTTGAGAGCTGGGCATAACGACGACCACGACTAGGTCTGCTGTGAAGCTGGGTTGTGTACTTAATTGTGTGCCTGGTGACTGACCGGCTCCTGCCTGCCCGCACCGCCACCGCCCCGCCGCAGACGGTGGATGTGCAGGCCAAGTTTGTGAACGGCAGGCCGGACAAGATTGAGGTCAAATACGTGATGCGCAGGTGTTTGTGGGGGCGGTGGGAGTGCATCGCGAAGCCTGCCTGCCTGTTGCCAGCACAGCACCACTTGCATGCCGACCAGAAGTTCTTATGGCTCTGTGTGCACCCCCACCTTTTGTGGCGACAGCTCGTTCGAGTGGGATCGCTTCATGCGCTTCATGGAGCGGTATGCTGAAGACAAGGGGCTTGGATTTCAGAAGAGCGGCTGACGTTGCTGTCTAGAACTGGCGATTTACCTTGGCCATAACACAGGGTTCCAACCTGATGAGCGTGTGGCCGTCGGCGGCAGCGGCGTCGGCTTTGTTTTCCAGCGGCGGCAGCCCGCACCCCCTCATTCTTTGCAGCTCGGTATTGATTGCGCTGCGCATGGTTTTCCCCGGCACTGTGATTGTTTGGCATGCCGCTCTATTCGTTGTGGATGTAAGTGCACACTGCGGCAGACGCCATCCGTGGCGTTGGTTTGAACGGCCGCCCGCCACCTGTGCGCCAGCAGGCTGGCGGAGGCTAGTACCCCTGCAGCATGGCAGCGCTGTGTCCTGTTGTATACGGCATGTTGATCGCAGACATTCTTCCAGGCTGCTAAGAGCGGGGAGGGAGCAGTATGGGGGAGGGACTTCAGCGCTCGCTAGGTTCGCTGAAAATGAGCGGCGTTCGAGGTCCTTGGAGCAGAACAGGAGCCGTGTCCCTGTGCGTTTTGGCAGCGCGACCTGTGCGCCTCGCAAGCCGGTCGAGCAGCAAACGCCTGTGTTTCCTGCTGGGAGCTTTGGTCACGGCCTCCCTGTGGGCAGCAGCGCCCGGGGGCTGCTGGGGAGGTGAGATAGGCGGCACATGATCGCACACATAGAGCTAGCTAGCTGCAGGCGGTGGTGTGTCAACCGACTTGCGGCGCCGCTGCCGCTGCTCCTAGCTGCCGCCACCAAGTGCCTTTCTTTCCGATTGCTGGCAGCAGGTTGTCAGAGCGGTGAGGGCGTGCCCCCGCCAAGCATGCGCCGAACTTGGACGCTGGCGGGTATTGCCGTGCCGGCCGCTCGCGGGGGCAGCGCGACGGCCCATCACCTCCGCCTGCCGCCGCCGCCTTGGCGCCCTATCCTGCACCCCAGCCAGCTGCAGCGCGGCCTGGCTTTCTACGGCAGCGGAGGCCGCATTGAACGGGTGGCAGCCAAGCTGCTGGCGGGGCGCCCTATCAAGGCATTCACCACCGGCGGCAGCGTAACCAACGGTGGCGGCGCCAGCAGCGATGCCACCGCCTACCCAGCCCGCTTCTTTAAGTTCCTGAACGCCACCTTCCCCCACAGCGGCCACGTGCTGGCCAACAAAGCCATCGGAGGCGCCACATCTGCCATCTTGTCCCTCTGTGCTGAGGCCCTCATCCCGCCGGTGCGTACGGGCCTCTGCGGCGCAGCGGCGTGCACACGGCAACGGCAACGCGCTTGCCGCCCACCTCCCTGCCCACCTGCCTGCCTGCCTGCCTGCCTGCGCCACACCCCACACAGGATGCCGACATCGTGGTGGCAGAGTTTACTTTCGATGAGGCTGGCGACCTGCCCTTCGCCACGCCCCAGCGCCGCGCCTTTGAGCAGCTGCTGCGCAGGCTGGCGCGTCTGCCGGGGCGACCCGCCGTGCTGGTGCTTCACCACTATGCTTGGTGGCTCTGCGCGGGGGATGGCGCAGGCGCGGGCCTCTACTACGGACCTGCGGAGCAGCAGCTCAGCACGCTGGCACAGGTGGGGCGGCGCAGCGCTGCGCGGGCCTGGGAAGGGGAGGGGAGGGGGCTTTGGGCGGTCGGCCGCGTGCCGTTGCCGCGCGAGCCCCTTGCTGGCTCATGCCTAATTGGTCGGTCTTCAGCAGCTTGCACGTGTGTGCTGCCACCAGCCGTCAACATTTGCCCATTGGTGAGCGGTACTGTACTGTATGCTACCGCCTATGCAGTATTACGACATGCCCTCGCCCTCCGTCAGGACCGCGGTGTGGCCCCAGATGCGGGCCGGGGTGGCCCCCTTCAAGGTCAGCCACGTGCTCAAGGGGGGCCAGGTGTCGCCCCAGGGCGCCCAGCTACCTGTAGCAACCCCCGGCACAGAAGCCCAGTACTTTTTCTACGACAAAGTGCACCCCTCGGGTGGGTTTGGTGAGGAGTCGGGATTCTAGGGTAGATGGGAGGCAAGGTAGAGCTGCTGGTAGGGCATGCATGCCTGGTGCTGTGGCGTTAATAGGGGCTTGCTGCCCACCACCTCCACCCGCTGCCTGCATGTCAGCGCTGGCCGACTGTCGCACATGCCACCCATCACACTTGCTTGCCCCTCTGCCCTGCCTGCCCTGCAGACGTGGGGCACCAAGTCATGGCCGAGCTGCTGGCCGGGGTGGTGATGCAGGCGGTGGAAAACGTGGCGGCCAGCAGCGCGGCGGTGGCAGCCGCAGCTGCAGCGCCGTCAGCGTCGCCCGATGACGACGAGGGCAGCACGGCAGGCAGCGGTGCGAGCAGTGGCAAGAGCAGCAGCAGCAGCAGCAGCAGCAGCAGCAGCGGCGGGGAAACGCCTGACAAGGAGGCAGAGCTGCCGCCCCAGATGATCCCAGGCAATGCAGACATCTCCACCACGCTCTGTGCGATGCAGGTGCGGCTACCTTGCAGACCACCTGCCTGCCTGTGCCTCGTCGGCAGCTGCACACGCACCAGCAGCAGCCTGAACACCACGCCCTGCTGCCGCCGTATCGCTCCCCGTGCTGTGTGATGTGCAGGAGGAGTTGAAGGAGCTGGGGAGGGAGATGGACGGGTTCAGGTGGTGCCCCGAGCGCCCCAACGGCACCACCCTCATAGACCAGAACTGGGGCTACTGCGGGCTGAGCATAGGCGAGCCGGGTGGCAGGGAGCCCCAGGGGTTGCGAATAGTGTGTGGCTGGCCTCAGCAGTTGTGGGCAGATGCTGGCGCAGCTCTTCAGCACCGATGGGAGTGCTTCGGGCTGTCTGGCGTGCCCGGCCCGCAGTTCATGGCTCTATCTATTCCTGGGTGTGCAGGCGACACAATTGTGCTGGAGCTCAGCACCGCCGACACCTCGGAGCAGGCGGGCAAGTGGGCCACCCTGTACCTGGGCTACCTGCGCAGCTACGAGGGTATGGGGCTGGCCAAGGTGGCCTGCGGCGGCGGCTGCAGCTGCGAGGAAACATTGGTGGATGCGCAGTGGGAGCAGCAGGCGTCCCTCACGCACATGCATGATCTCAAGGCAAGCCTGCTCCTGGGTGTTGGTTGGCTGCTTTGGGCAGCGGGGAGGCCTGGCTGTGCGCGCCCATGTGCTGCGCCTGCTGATGCCAGCAATAGGCCAGGCGCCCTGCTTGCCTGCCTGCAAGCAAGCTGAGCATCAGCAGCAAGCCTCCACCGTCCGCATCCCAACCGCCGCTATGCGCTGCGACATTGCAGGTCACCCAGTCTGCTAAGTGCCGGGTGCGGCTTACGATTGTGGACCGCAGCAGCGGCGGTGGCACGCAGGGCGCAGGCACAGGCGGCAATAGCACGGAGGGCGCTGGCCCCAGCAGCGGCGGTGGCGGCAACAGCATGCAACAGGACGCTGGCCCCAGCACCACCGGCGGCAGCAAGTTCCAGCTCACTTCCGTCATGGTGGCCCACTTGCCGGTGGTGCTGGACAACAGAATAGCTGGGAGGGCCAGCGGGATGGCGGAGAATGGCTAGCTGCAGCTGCCCCCTCTGCTGCGCACTGTAATCCAGCCAGTACCCGTCAGGGCTGGGTTTTACAGCTAAGGTGAAGCGACAAGCATGGGAGAGCAGCACGGCGGAGGGAGGGCAGGGAGGAAGAGCAAAGGGACAGGAATGGATAGCGCACTGATTGGGGCAGCAATGCAATGGAGGAATGGGTATCAGCATGGTACAGGAAAGGGGGTTGTACGAGGGTCATGCGTCTGCCGCCGGGGTCACCGGCCCCACTGAGCCGCCTGCATCTGCGCCAGAAGGATGGCTCCAAAGGCCGCCAAGCCCGTGACGCTGCACAAAGCGCAGCACAGCGCGGCACGCGTGGTTCAGTGGAGCACCCGGCCAATTGTGGGTAGCGGCTGTTGCACAAGCAGGGTATCGTCCACGTAAGCAGGTGCCGAGGGGCGCAGCCGGCGGACAGCCAAGGCAGGGACCTACCTGGTGATCACTGCTGCCAGCGCCGCAGCGCCCCGCGCCTGCCCGGCTCCTCCCTGCAACAGAAATGCCACCACTGCCTGCGGTCAGTTGGCACCTCTTGAGCATGCCCCCGGCATGATAACTGGGAGCACTTTCAGCAGGAGCACGAAAACAGGGCTGGCATTGCCGGCGGGCCAGTGATGCACCTGCGGGACGAACAGGGCCTGCAGCTGCTGCACGGCCTGCTGGCCAAACGGGTGGCGGGCGCCCCGGGGCTCTGCCGGCACCTTCCAACGTCCCTCGCTGCGGGCCAGGGCGCGTGACCAGGCAGAAGTGGGATGGGGGGGGCAGTAGACAGGGAGGCTGCCGGCAGCGTCGCCACTCAGCCGCCCTGTGTGCTGGCAACACCAGTGCCAGCGCACAGCCACACCTCAGGTAGGCATCTATGGCGGCCGAGTGGCGCAGCTGGATGCCGCGGCGCTTTGCCAGCACCACCGGCGGTACCGCCTGGTACAGCGCCGCCGCCTGCCGCGCCAGCTCATCGGCGTCGGGCTGCCCCGGCTGCAGGAACCGCATCCTCCTGAGGGTGCCATACACAGCCAGCCCGTCCTCGCCGCACTCCAGAATCTCGCGCCGGTTGCCCTGCACACACAGCGCAGCCACAGCACGCATGGTTTCAGGTGGTTGGCCGCCTGACCGGCTGGCTGCTGCTGCAGGAGGCGGGGCGGCCGGGGGTGACTCCCTCCCTCCCCGCCGCCCAAATGGCTGCATGCCTGCCACCTGGGTTGGTGGAGCGCAGGTTGCTGCTGCTGCCGGTACAGGCCAGCAAACGTCACAGCACAGCAGCTTTGCGGGCCGGCAGCAGCTTGCCTTGATGGCCACCGCTGCCACATACAGCGGCATGAGCGGGTGGGAGGCGAGGAACAGGTCAAACAGGCGAGCTATCTGGTGCAGCCCGGGCACGTCGTGGGCAAACCAGGTCATGTACCAGCTGCAGTGAGCAGGGCAGCAGGACGGGAAGGAATGAGGGATGGGGCAGGGCTGAGGTTGGAGGGGTGCGCAACGCTGCAGGGTGCCAGGCCATGCAAGGCGCCACCTGGCGCCGTGCGGCCCTTGCTGTGCATGCTGCGCCGTGCCTGAGCGCAAAGTAGGGCACCTCCAGCGCCGGCTCCTGCAGCCCCAGCAGATAGCGGTACAGCTCGGTGTCGCACTGCGGTACAGAGGGAGGAAAGAAACAGTGTTGTTGCTGCACCACGCCTGCGGGAGGCGAGCGTGTGAGCCACCCCACCCAACTGCAGGTCTCTCTCTTTTCTCCTGTCACACACACACACACACACACACACACACACACACAGCCCACCTGCTCCAAAATGGGGTACAGCAGCCGCAGCGTCTCGGTGGCGGCGGCCAGGTCGGGGCGCGTGCAGTCGCGCAGGTGGCAGGCGGCCAGCGCGCGCAGCAGGCGGTAGGCGGCCGGCTCGCCGCACACAAACAGCAGCACGGCGGCGACGTCGTGCAGGCCTTGGTAATAGTAGAGGCCGCCCTCGTTGCCCGCCACAGCGCCGTCCAGCACACGGCGCAGCGCGCGCCGCTTGGCCTCGCGCTCCCCCTCGGGCCAGCCTGTAGGCAGGCAGGAGAGCGGGTGGCGACGGCCTGTGCTTCCGCCTGGCGCTACTGCGGGGCTGGGCTGGGGCGCCACGGCTGGTCGGTGCGAGCGCAGGCCAGAACCCAAATTGCAAGGCGGCTCTGCGAGCTGCGCCTTGCAGCATGCCTGGCCGCTTTCGGCCCTGGTACACTCTCCACCACCACCACCACGGCATGCCTTGCCGCCACACACACATGCCAACCCGCAGCACCGCGCCTTGAGTGAAGCTCCACAGCGAGCGGGCCATATCACAGGCCAACACATTGCTGTCCTTGTGGGTGCTGCCGTGCCGCCGCTGGTAGTCCGCGGCCCCATCCTCCTGCGCCACGCTGCCCACTCCCACCAGGTGCGGCCACACCCGCGCGCGCAGCTGCGGGGCAGGGCAGGCGAGGCGAGAGCGCAGGGCACGGGGCAGCTTGAGTGGCATGTGAGGGTTGGGAGCCAGCTGTCGCCGCTCCTCCAGTCCTGCCTGCCTCTCACCCCGTCATTGACCAGGCCACGGATCGCCGCTATCTTGCGCAGCTGGGTCAGGGCAGCCTGCGTGAGGGAGCAGGAGAGGCAGAGCTGATGGGCACTATGGGTGCTTACACGTTTGGTAAGTGCAGAGAGCAGGCACCCGCCAGGCGCTCCCCACGCACGCTCACCGGACTGTCACGCTCCAGCAGCAGGTTGTTGACTGCCTTCAGGGTGTCAGAGTCGCGACTGCCTGCCGCCCTGCGGCCTCGGCTGCCCGCCCGCCCCATGTGCGGGCGGCGGCGGCGGCGGCGCTATGCAGCCGTGCACAGCGGGCCTGCCTTCCGGGCAAGGAGCGTTGGAGAGTGCACCGCTCTTGGTGCTGGAACGGGTACCTTGTCCAGGAGCGGAAGCGGAGCGCAGCGATGGCGGGCACCAGGAGACGGGCGGGCTTCTGAGTCGGTGATCGATTTTGAGGTGGGCATCGGCCCTGGGAAGATGCAAAGAAAGCCAGTGCATTCGTCCCGTTTCAAGTGCCGTCCGAGCTGGCTCCATCAGCCAAGTCTCTGGCCCGAATTCGAATGCTGTTTGCGAATTGTGTACTTGTGGGGCACCCTGGGCCGCTGGCGTGTCTCACACACGCGCCAGTTGACGGCACGCACACGGTTGCCGGGTTACCGGCCCCTTCCTCCACTCCCGCAGCCCCAAACCTCTGTGAGCATCACCAACGCGGTTAAATCCGTGGTGGGCACCCAGCACGCCTCAGAGTTACGTGAAGCTCACAACCAGAATGGGGCCTGGAGGCGACCCCAAACGAGTCGCCAACGGCACGGGCGGCGGGGAGTTTGACGAGGAGGCGGTGATCGTCTCAGCCAATGGAGCGGTGGAGCTGGCCAGCAGCAAGGTCGTCGTGGTCGACGGCGGCGGCGGCGACGGTGGCGGCGACGCCGCCTCAGACCACAGCAAGGACTCTGGCGGCAAGCTGCCCGACCATGAGCAGGCCGTGCTGCCGGACGGGGAGAAGGCAGCCAAGCCCGTGGGCTACTTCAGCCTGTATAGGTGAGGCCCCCTGCGCCCATGGCACACCCGGGGCTGAGGTGTGCGCCAGCCGACACAGGCATGGGGCCCTGGCCCGCTCATTATCCCACCGCACCGCCCTGCCTCTACCGCCTTGTCCTCGCATACCCCTCCAACCCTGCCCTGTAGGTATGCCGACCGCTTGGACTACCTCTTCATGCTGCTGGGCGCGGGCGGAGCGGCCGCCAACGGCGCCGCCATGCCTCTGTTTGCGCTCATCTTTGGCGGGCTGGTCAACTCGTTTGGCGGCAACGAAGATGACCCAGATGCGCTGACGGAGCAGGTCACCAAGTACTCACGTGAGCGGGGGGGGGGGGGGGGGGGGTAGGCAATTTGCCAAAAGGTGTGCATGGGTATGGGTGGTCTCACCGATGTGCGTGGGTGTGAAGGTGGGTGGGCGGGCGGCAGGCGTTTGTGCGTGTAGGGAGTGTGGCGGGGACGTGGGCATTGACAGAGGAATGGGCTGGGCCCATGGGTGCGGCGGGCGCCTCCTGGTGTGTGTTTGGCTGACGCCTATTCACTTCCTGCTTCGTTTTCTTTTCACAGTGTACTTTGTGTACCTCGGAGTGGGCGCCTTTGTGGCGGCGTACCTGCAGGTCGCCCTGTGGACCCTCACAGGTGGGCCTCGGCTTTGCGCTGCCCGTCTCTGTGCTGCCTGGACGCCCGGCATTTGCACCTGTTTGCTTGGTTTGGGTTCACAGCCCACATGAGTGCAACCGATGTGGCGGCGGAGGCAAGGCCAGGCGTGGCTGGCTGCTAAGACAGCCCGCCCATGGCGCCGCCGGCAGGCAGCCTCTGCAACCCCACCTTCCCGCCCACGCTCCCGCATGGAATCCTGCGCGGTGTGGCATGCAGGCGTGCGGCAGGTGAACCGCATGCGGGGGCAGTACCTGAAGAGCGTGCTGCGGCAGGATGTGGGCTACTTCGACACCACAGCCACCAGCGGTGAGCAAGGAGTGTGGCGCAGCCAGAGCAGGCAGACAGCAGGCAGACGAGGGAGGGGGGCCGCCCGTCCGCTGCCCTGCCGGTGTCGGGCAGGCCTGCACGTGACGCCTGGCGTCGTGGACAGAACCGAGGAGAGAAGGCGCCCGGTGTTTGTTCCTGGGCCAACCCCTGCACCCCTCCCTTAACCCCCCGACACTCTTCTTGGCTGCCTTGCGGGTTGCCCGCCTGCAGGCCGCCTGCTGCAGGGCCTGAACGAGGACTGCCAGACCATCCAGCTGGCCATAGGCGACAAGGTCGGCCACGTCATCTTCAACCTCACAACCGCGGTGGTGGGAATCATCATCGGTACGTGGGGCGGGCCTGGGTGGCGGCGGCACACCCCAGTGACGGCGCAGGCTGGCAAACTAGGACGCCTGCCCCGTCCCCTGGCCGCTGCTTCCGTGTGTGTGCCGCTCGCTGCCGTGCTGCTACGTTGTGTCGCCGCTGCCGACCTTGTGCCCGCTCCCCTCCCCTGCTGCAGCCTTCACCAAGGGTTGGGACATGACTCTCGTGATGCTGGCAGTCACGCCCTTCCTGGCCGGCATGGGGTGAGGCGCCGCTGCTGCCCAGACCTGCAACCCCATTTTGTCCAGGCTCGGATTGGGCCGTGTGGGTCAACACTGTGCCTGTTGGTGTCTGCCCTCGGCTGGCATATGCTCACTCTGGACCCATCCTCCCCCGCAGCTTCATGATTTCCGTCTTCATGGCCCGCAACACTTCCAAGATCAACACAGCCTACGCAGGTGGGCAGGTCGCACAACACACGCGCACACCCACACGCACACGCGCGCACACACACACACGCACACACACACACACGCACACACACCACACGCTGTACAGCCATCACACACACACACACACACACACACCATGCGCTGTGCAGCCATCACACACGTGTGCCATGCCCCCCTGCCGCCCCTGCAGACGCCAACTCCATCGCGCAGCAGGCCCTGGGCAACATCCGGACTGTGTATGCCTTCAACGGGGAGGAGCGCACGCTGGAGGCCTACTCAGCCTCCCTGCAGCCGCCGCTCAAGGTCTGCTTGAACGGCAACCATGTTCCGTGCCCGCTGCATGGTGCTGTGCTGCACTTTCAGGCCGCCTGCTGCGCCATGCTGCCATTCTGCTGCACGCGCTGATGCCTGACCGCCGCCGCCCACGCCGCCTCGTTTCCTTCCACTATTTCCACCTGCAGGTGGGCATCCGCCAGGGCTTCCTGGGTGGCCTGGTGGTGGGCATCACAAACGGGGTGGCCTTCTTCGCATACGCGCTGGCGCTGTGGTACGGCAGTACACGCGTGGTGGCTGGAGCCTACAACGGTGGGTGAATGGAGGGCTGCGCACGGCAGGGCTGTCGCTGGCCCTGGGGCGCGGGCGGAGGGAGCCCTGGGCCTGCCTGCTGGGGGCTGCCAACTGGCGTCACAGCTGGGCCGCTGTGGTGCGCCGCGCGCAGCGACGCGCTCAGCTGCTGCGCTCTTGCCTGCCCGCTGCCCTCCGGTGGCCGCGCACCTGCCACTCCACCCCTGCTCCTGCTCCTGCTCCACCCCAACCATGCCTGCAATCGCGTGTGGTGCGTGCAGGCGGCGACGTGGTCAACGTTCTGTTCTCTGCGCTCATTGGCGGCTTTGCGCTGGGGCAGGCCGCGCCCAATGCCCAGTACTTCCAGCAGGCGAGCAGGCAGCTGCTGGGCATGGGCCGGCGCGACTGTGGTGGGGTGCCGCTTGGCAGGGGAGCCGCGGCGCATGCACGTGCAGGCAGGCCTGCTGGGTTGGCCCCACTGCGCTTGCCGACGTGCCGGCCACGTGCTTTCCCTTTCCTCTTTGCAGGGCAAGTCGGCGGGCGGGCGCATCTTTCACATCATGAAGCGCACCCCTGGCATTGACCTCGACGCCGCCGGTGAGAGTGCTTGATGGACTTGGCAGGGTTTTTTCCAGTCTGTCTCATTGCATTGGCGCACCACGGATGCAGCAAAGCGGCAGGCGCGTATCCTGACCCCGCCCCACGGCT